GATGCTTCTGTCCTGAGAACCTAGAACACAGCATGTCAGAACAGAGAAGGACCTTAGACTAGTCAACAAATCAAAATGAACAGCTGGTCACTTCCTGAACTCAAGGTCCCTTCCCAGCCCCGGTACCTAGAACAAAAACCCTCTTTAAAGCCACCTCTGAGAATCTATGTCATCATTCAAGGCTCAACCCAGGTGCCATTCATCACCACCACCACCCCAGATCCTCAACGTTCTCACCTTCTCTAGACTATGTGGCTCCACTTACCCAGAGAGATGTTGCTGTGATGGTGTATCTTCCCATACACGCATGCACACAGACATGCCCTAACCCCAGCAGAACGTCCACTTTGGGTTCGGTGCACTACAGAACTACAGAACGGTGCTAATACTAATAATGCTTAATAAATGAATTGAACACAGAATGATGGCCTGGCCACCGCTGGCCTCCAGAGACCTTGGAAATGATTTCGTCCATCATCACTACCCCTCACCCTTTCCTTTTGTAGATAACGCTGAAGACCAGAAAAGTGAAGCGATTTGCCCCAAGTCACTGGCAGAGGTGGTCTGAAGCCAAGCCACAGCTCTAGAGCCAGAAGGAACCTCAGAGGCCCCCAGCCCCACCCCATCATTTCATGCACAAGGAAGAAGAACCTGAGGGAGGTGGAATTATTTGCCCAAGGTCGAGGGGGTTGGTAGTAAGTGTCAGAGGCAGACCTGGAAGCCTTCGTGGGTTTACATCTCAGAGAGGTGGGGGCTGGGGCCAGGGAGGGAGGTCAGCCAGCCTCTCTTCTAACCCCCACCAACCCACCGAGAAACACACGTGCAGGCATCAGGAGTGAGGCCCTTCCTATTCTGGGTATTCTACAAAGGAGAAGTCACACTCCAGCTTCCTCACTGCTCTCAGCCCTAGGAGCCCATCAGTCCCAGGAATTGTTTAAGCCAAGCACCTTCTGGCTGGCAGCTCGACCCAGAAAACCCAGTGTAGGACCAGGCCAGCCAGGTTCTCAAATTAGAAACCTGCTGGTGAGGCTCTCCTCCTCCTCCCCGTCCTCCCAGAGACTGCTCCTGGGACTGAGACCTGGTGAAACCCAACACTGCCCCCCCAGCCAGTCCATTATAGGCTGGTCTGCCAGGTGCCAGGCACCAGGCACCATCAAGGTGGGCTGCCTCTGTCTGCCGCAGGCTGCAGCCGCAGAGCACACACCCAGGCGGCTAAGTAGAGATTGTTATTGAGGGCGAGAAAGGCAGAGGGGGGAGAGAAAGGGGAAAGGGAAGACTGGAGAGACAGAGGGAAGGCGCTCTCCGCTCCAGCAGAACAGTAGCAACCCAGGCTGCTCCCCAGGCTGGGAAGCTCCCCAGAACAGGAAAGCCCCATGTCCCCTGTGCCAGGAAGGAGAGCAGAGGAATGAAGTTCCCCACCTCCGGAGGCAAGGAGGTGCTCAGCTGCTGCTCTGAGGCCCCCAGTGGAAAAACAAGGGGAATAGCAGGGGGGAAAAAGAATTCAGGGGGAGAAGGGGGTTAGTGTGCTGAGAGCATGAGGGCAGGTGCAAGAGCAGTGTAACTTGGGAGGGCAATTCTGTGCGTGCAGATGTTAGAATTACGGAAGAGGATTACAAAGTGTCAGAGCTGAGTGGGACCTTAGAACACAGAATGTCAGAGCTAGAAGGGAGATTAGAACATCACATGTTATGGCTGAACAGAGAAGGTCAGAGCTGGGAGACCCTTTAGAACATTGAATGTCAGGGCTGAGAGGGGTGTTAGAACAGGGAATGTCAGAGATGAGAACCCTGGAACAGAGAACATAGAATATCAGGGCTGGGAAGGGCGTTAGAATATTGGAAGTCAGAGCTGGTAAAGATAGGAGAAACCTTTAAATCCAATCATCTCATTCTTGAGACGAGGGGAAAGGTCCAGCAAAGGGGCCCAAAGTCACACAAATGGCAGAACCAGCACTAGAACCTGGGTCTCTTAGCTTCATATTCTGTCTTCTAACTAGGAGACTAACAGTCCCTGACACCCTAGTCAGGTGGGAGGCAAGCAGGCAGGTGATAGAAGGGAGATGAAGTGGTGGTAGGGAAGGTGAAGAGGGCAGTCCCCAACTATAGAGATAAGTGTAGGGGGGACAGGCACAATGTGTGTGTGTGTGTGTGTGTGTGTGTGTGTGTGTGTGTGTGTGTGTAGTGTGAGAGAGGAGGGGGAGGGGGAGAAGGAGGGAGGAAAGAGGGAAAGAGAACTCTTGGTTATAAGCTGCTGTGGACACTGGGGGCTTTCAGTCACAAGAGTGGTGTAGAGAGCTTGGTATATGCAGCTGTGCTGGGGTGGGGGACAGGAAAGCCCCAAACCCTGTGCTTTGAGACATTTGTCTACAATAAGATAACAGAATGCACAGCTAGAAGGGAAGACAAGGTCATTTTACAGAGGGAGAAACTGAGTCCCAGAGAGAGGAAGAGACTCCCTCAAAGTCACACAGAGAGCCTGTGGCAGAATGGGGCATTTGAGCCCAGGTCCTCACCAGAAGCCAGGCATGGAAATGCTTCTAACTCTTTCCCTTTGCGATTCTGACCAGAACTGTGTTGAAGGCTCTAAATTCTTACAACCCTTCCATTGTGTACTGTCACGTCTCACACACCAGTCTGTGGAACTAGTGAAGGAGGAGGAGGAAGGGAGAGAGGCCAAGCCCTCCAGAGTCCAAGGCAAACTAGCTCCAGAGCACCCTCAGCCCCAGATTCTCTCTCACAGCCCTCAGAAGAGCTGGACTCCGCTCCCCCCCTTCCCCACCCCTACATGATCCAGCCCACTCCACTCTCAGCATCTGGACATCCCCATATAGCTGATGCAGAATCCACACTCTCCCTGATGCAAGACGCGCCCCCTCAGGGGTGGGCACTGGGCATATCTCTCTCTCTCTCTCTCTCTCTCTCTCTCTCTCTCTCTCTCTCTCTCTCTCTCTCTCTCTCTCTCTCTCTCCCTCTCCCTCTCCCTCTCTCTCTCTCCAGCCTGCCAAGCCACTGGGGACAATGCTAGTCTGCCAGCAGGCAGCCTGAGAGGAAGCCTCCACCCTTCTTATCGGAGTCTCCTCCAACCATTCTCCTCCCCCAGCCGGAGAGGTCACATGGGGGTCCTGCTTGACAGAGGAAGGCCAAGGCTCTTCTTCTCTTCACTCCCCACCCCTCCCTATCCCTCCTCTCCTCTTCTCTCTTTCCCACCCATAGCTTGCCTGCCCAGAGCCAGTCAATGTCTCAACCCTTTCCAGGCCAGCCCAGGGTTCCAATGGAGGTAGGAGCATTCCCCTGCAAGCCCCTCCAGGTTCTCAGTCTCCTCCCCCTCCCCAAGCCCAGGGAGACAGATGCCTGGGAAAGCATCAAAAGAGATTGATTCCAAAAGGAAAATGCAGGTAGACGGGGAGTTCCTGGTGCAGTTTCGGGCTGAGTTTCAGCCTCATACCTTTGAAATGAGCCAAGCAGGACCTTCCTGGGAGAAGTCCTGAGATTGAGGCCCCTAACGAAGGAACCATGGCCCGATATTGCTTTCCAGTGCTGCTGGTTCGAGGAGACTCAGCCCATTAACCCCTTCATTGAAAGGGAGAGGGATAGCTCCCCCTCCACAAACCTAATCACTGCCTGGCCTTTGGGGCTTCTGCTTTCTCTCCCCATTTAGGCATCACTGAGTTGGGGGGGGTGGAAACGGGGAAGAGGAGGAGATAAAGAGCTAAAGAAGGAGAGGGGAAAGGAGAGGAAGAAAGAGGAGAGAAGAGAGAGGGGGAAGAGGGGAGGGAGAGAAAAAAAGGAAAGAGGAGGGGAAGAAGGGAGAAGTGGAGGTGACGGAAGAAGAAAAGAAAGGGGAAACGAAGAGGAAAAAGAGAGAAAAGAGAGAGAAAGGGGAGGAAAAGGAGGAGAGGAAGGGAAGAACAAGCATGCAAAGACCCAGACAGCACCAGCCTGCTTCTTGAGAGTCAAAAGGGCCGCGTCCCCCACTGACAGAGACAGCGCGAGAAAGCTTGACTCCGCCAGCCCCACGAGTGACCTGGGCTCATCTCGTTTGCCTACCGCAACCGCAACCGCACCCACCCCCCTGGCGGCCCGCAGCCCCCTCTGGGCCCTGCGCGCCACCACCCCTCTCTCTCTCTCTCTCTCTCTCTCTCTCTCTCTCTCTCTCTCTCTCTCTCTCTCTCTCTCCAACACAGCTCCCTTCTTTCTACCCAGCTATTTGACCAAAGCTTCGGCAAACTTCGGCGAGCAGAGAACTTTGCCTGTCTGCCTGCCTGCCTACGCCGACGTACCTCCCCCACCCTTTCCTGCTCTCTTCCCCACATTCCCACTGCTCCTTCCCCCAGCCCCCTACGCCCACCCCATCCCGACTCCCCCGGGCTGGACTTGTGTCTGGGTCTGGAGAGGAAGCGCTACCCGCTACCCTCACCCCCGCCTCTCCAGCACAGAACCTGTCCCTGTCCCCGTCCCAGCTTGGCCCAGCCCCAGCCTTAGACCCGTCCTGCTTTCAGCTCCCAGCCCTAGTCGCGTCCCAGAGCCGGCTGCAGCCTCGGTCCCTGTCTGACCCAGCCTCAATTCCATTCCTAGCACTGACCGATCCCCTTTTCCGTGTCCCCAGGCCCAGCCACTGCCCCCCAGGCTCGGTCTTCTCCCTCTTCCAGACCCGGCCTCTGCCCCAGCCACAGTACCAGCCCCTGCCTCCACCTCATCTGTGCCTCAGTCTCAGCTCCAATCCCAGGCCGGGGCTCTACCTGTCCCAGCCCCAGTCCCAGCCTCAGACCTGTCCCAGGGAGAGTCGTGCTGGCTTGGACGCCCCCAGCCCCAACCTGGCACTGCGGAGCCCAGGGGGCGCGCACACGGAAGGGGGCTGGGCCCTAGGTCCCCGCCCCCGGGTCTAGGTCCGGTTGCCTGTCCCGGCCAGGGCGCGCCCTTCCATCCCTCCTTCCCTCTGTCCCTCCATCTCTCGATCTATGCCTCCCTGCTGCCTCCCCCACGGGCAATGGGTTCACTCACCTCCGGCAAACGCCCTCTTCATCTTAGGGCCGGGGCGGCGGCGGAGCGGCTGGGGCAGAAGGTCCGTCCGGCCGGCCGCTGCGGGGGCCCGGCGCCGGGCACGTGGGGCCCGCAGGGGCCACTGGGCGGGCGAAGGAGGCGCAGCCGCCCCGGGGCCGGGGTCCGCATCCAGGCTCCGGCTCCGGCGGCGGCTCCCGCGGCGGGAGAGAAACAGGAAGGCACGAAGGGACCAAGGAAACGGAGGAGGGATGCAGAGAGGGATGCAGCGAGCGAGGAAGGGATGGATACAGCGAGGGATGAAGGGAGGGAGAGAGGGAGGGGGCGCGGTGACCCTCAGCCCTGGCCGAGTCGCGGCCGAAGCTCTGCTCCCGCTCCCAGGGGAGACGCGGGAGGGGGGAGGGGGGTTCGTCCGTCTGTGTGCTTCTTGGACTTCCTGTCCGTCTCTCGGTGGGTGGCCCGAGTGTCCAGGTGAGCGGGGCTGGGGGCCGGGCGCGGCGGGCGGGCGGGCGGGCACGCGCGGCGATGGATGCGGGCTCCTAGCCGGGCTGGAGATGAATGTTTTATGGGATCATGTGGTTTGACGTGAGAGGAATCCGCCTGGATCGGATTTACCGGCTGGAGGAGGAAGAGAGGGAGAGAGGGAGAGGGACGAGAGGAGGGGGAAGAAAGGGAGGGAGAGGAAGGGAGGGAGCGAGGGAGGGGGAGAGAGAGAGAGAGAGAGAGAGAAGAGAGAGAGAGAGAGAGAGAGAAGAGAGAGAAGAGGGAAGAGAGAAAGAGGAGGGGGCAAAAGGGGAGGAGGGAGAGAGGAGGGAGAGAGGAAGGAGAGAGGGGGAAGGGAGAGAGAGGGGCGAAAGAGGGGAGAGGGAGGGGCAAGGGAAGTGGGAAAGGGAGGGAAAGGGAGAGGAAAGGGTGGAGGGAAGGAGAGAGAAGCGAGAGGGAAAAGAGATCGAGAGAGATTCAGAGAAAAGGAGAGCGAGCGAAAGAGAGAGGAGAGAAAGAGGGAAGGAAGGGGGAGAAAGGGGAGAATGGAGGAGAGGGAGAGGAAAGTGAGACCAAACCAGAGAGGAAACGGAGGAGAGAGATGAAAGAGGGAGAGAGAAGGGAGAAGAGTCGCTGAGGAGGGAGGGAAGAGGGGAGAAGAGAGAGACAGAGACAAAAAGAGAGAGAGAGAGAGAGAGAGAGAGAGAGAGAGAGAGAGAGAGAGAGAGAGAAGCAGAGAGGAGCAGGAGAGTAGATGGGAAAGGAAGCGAGAAAGGAGAGGACAACAGAGGAGAGGGAGAGAGGGAAAGAGGGAAAGAGGGAAAGAGGGAAAGAGGGAAAGAGGGAAAGAGACCAAGAGAGAGACCGAGAGACCGAGAGGCAGAGAGCAACGTGGGGAGGCGGGGGCGGCTCCGGGGAGGCTTTCGGAGCTTTCGGAGAGCGGGGCCACGGGCCTGAGACCTGGTTGGGGATGGCGGGGGGCAGGTGGGGCTGTCAGCTAGGGCTACGAGGCCGGAGCTTGGAGGGGAAGAAGGCAGCGCCTGGGGGGAGGAGGGGAGGAGTAAGAGGCGGACCTCGTAGCTCACCTAGCCCCGGGAGCTGGGGGCTCCGGAGGGCTCGAGGAGCAGCCTGGGCGGGGCCCAGAGACCCTCCCGCAGGCGGGGCCCAGAGCACCCCCGCTAAACCCCAGATCTCTGTGCCCCGCGCCCCACCCGGCCGGGCCGCGGCAGACAAAGGGCGGCGATTTCTGAAGCGGCGGCGGCCTCTACAGGCGGCCAGAAGAAAGCTGGCTGGGGGGCTGGGGCCGGGGGACCCCCACGAAGCAGAGGGACCCACAGGGGCAAAGCAGAGTTAGAGTGCTGGCATTTATGGGGGTGGGGTGCGTTCGGCCCCCTGGGGCCTGCAGGATGACCTTCACAAGCCCAGGAGGGATACGGATGGCTGGGGAAAATACAGGTGTCAGACCCCAGCCTCCCTGGGCACAGTTCCTGGCCCCACAAAGAGACCTGGCCTCAGCAGGAGGATGGGCAAGAGACCTGGTGACCTTGGTCAAGTCAACTAACGCCTCTGGGCCTCAGTGTCCCCCTCCAAAAAATGAAGGGAGGGGCTGGACTAGACGGCCTCTGAGGAGCCATCCATTCAAGGTCCTATGGGTGACTTTGGGCAAATCCCTTCCCCCTCTCTAGGTCTGTGTCCTCTTCAACAAAATGAGGATGTTGCACTAAATGACCCGAAGTGTCTACTAGCTCCAAATGTGTGACACAATTTTTTGTACTTCCATTTTACAGCTGAAGGCTCTGAGGCCCCAGACCATCCAGCTGGGAAGTGATGGAGTTGAAACTTGAACCCAGATCTCAGCCATTATATCCAGCACCGTCTCCAGAGTACCACTTTTCCTGCCCCTCAGCTCTGCCTGACTCACCTTCCAACCTTCCCTCACCATCTTCCCAGACCTCTGCCTCTGTTTCTACCTCCTCAGTAACAGTCCCCTCCATTCCCTTCCCTCCACTCTCACAGGCACCACCGTAGTCCAGAAAGCTCTCTGTCTTCTAATTGCTCCCTCCTCATTCCTCCTCACAAGGCCAAGAGATCTCTTAAAGGAAGATCTGACCAGGTTGCTGTCCTACTCAAGAAACCTCAGAAGCTTCCTGTTACCTAAGGTGATATGAACTCTGTGAGCACCTCCATTTAGCCTTTCACACCCTGGTCCTAACCTATCTTTCCAGTCTTTTTATACATCACTTTCCTTACCCTACTCTTCTGTACATCCAAACTGACCTTTCTGTTCCTTACCCCAGTTCTCATGCCTTTGAACTGACTGGAATACCCCCACACACACCTTCCCTCCATCTTGTTCTACTGAAATGTCACCTTCTACACGAAACCTTTCCTTATCCTCCAAGCTGCTAGTGCCTTCTTCCACCTTCCCCAATTTTCTTTTCTGTATACCTATTTGTCTCCCCAAATAGAATGTAAATGCCTGAGAGATGGGACCGTTTCCTGTAAGTCTCCTTGCCGACACACATGGTGCTTCATAAATGCTTATTTATTGCTGGACCATTCTCATAGTGTTCATTCCAGTCAAACTGACCCGCTCAAAATCCCCTTTGCTTAGCCTACTTTGGACCACTGCATCTTTGCTCTCGCCATCCCCTGTGGCTCCAAAATCCCATCTTTAACCAATAAAGGACATCTCTCATGGTACCATTACTACCTTCTCCATCCAGCCTTCCTTATACAGAATCACTGAATTTGTGAATGGACCTCCAGGGCCATCCAGGCCAACCTCTACAGAAAAGGATGCCCCACTGTACCTAGCCTCTGCTTGAAGACCTCCAAGGACGGGGAGCTCACTACCTCTCAAAGGGGATAGCTCTGAGTTCTTTCTGACCACCAGCCTGAGTCTTCCCTTTCTGGTTTACCCCCATTGCTCCTGATCCTGAACTGGAACGAGGCTGATCTTCCTTCTGTATGACAGCCTTTCAAATACTTGACAGCTCTCGTGCCCCGCCCCACCCCCAGTGTTCTCTTTTCCAGACTCCTCTGATGCCACAGATTCCAGACTCTTCCCATCCTGGTTGCTTTTTTTTGTTCCCTCTCCCAATGCCCTTTCTAAAGTGGGGCACCCACACTGAAGCCAATCCTTCAGATGAGGTCTGATGAGGACGGAGGGCAGCCTCACCTCCCTCTTCCTGGACACTATCCGTCCCTGACTAGAGCCCAAGACAGCATCCTCTTTCTGCTAGCTCATAAGGGCCTTGCAGACCACTCAAACCCCTAGCCCTTTGCAAACTGCTGTCTAACCAGGCTTCCTCCTCCTTGTGCAGCTGATGTTTTCAAACCCATTGACCACATCAACAGAGACAAGGCACCAACAGGAGATAAGGCACCCAGCTGAGAGTAGAGAAACGAACCAAGGGCAGGCAGATGGTTGCCCTAGAAAAGAGAGACACACCGAGGACAAACACTGACGCAGACAGAAAATAAAGGATAGCTAGCTGAGGAAGGGAGCCGCTTCCTCGGCCCCTTGTGCTAGAAAATGGCAGTGATGGACTCGAGAATGACCTTCCCATAACCAAAGCTGTGAGTTTACCCTTTGCCCACCATGTATGCATACCCTCATACCCTAAGTTTACGGTGACTCTTCCCCTGGATCCTGTGTATATTTGGGGGAGAGTGAGCCCCAGGCTTTTGAGGGAAAAACCAACAGTTTTTAAGACATCACTTTAAGTAAATACCTTTGCTAGAAAACAGATTGATTCTGGCAGGCCAACTATCAGTGGATATCAGGCCAGTGGGGGCTCAAGAGAGACAATACTAGAAAGCTAGCTTCTCAGAACCCTGAGAGAGTCATAGCAGTCACCTCCTACAGACCCCGCCAGCCAGTGTGAATGGAAATTAGAGAAACAGGCTCAAAGGGAGCGCTACCTCTTTATTACCCAGCACCTTGCCCATGGCCATGCACACAGTAGGCACTTGTTAAAAGTTTGTGAAAACAAAATAAACCTCGGGAGCTGGGAGGGAAACTGGAGACCAGTTAGCATAGCCTCCTCATACAGAAGAGGAAAGCAGACTCAGAGAGGCGAAGAGACTTTTCTCTGGTAACACACAGTCTAACAAGAGCAGTCAACAGACAGTGGGGGCTCTTCCCATCACGTTATAGATCATCTCTTATTGCCAAATAAATAAGTAAATAGGAAGGGTGGACTGAGGTGACATCACGCCCTTCCAGAGTCTTACTTACCTGCATTCCCTCCATCTGATTGCGCCCCTCTATTCTCCTGCCTTCATTCTCTTTCAAGTTGTTCAAATCCCCCAATGTGTTTGCTGAGCCTGTCCACTCTGCCTTCACCCCCTCTTCCTTCTGTCTCCCTTCGGTGAAGAGTTATCTGCCAGCCTTTTCCTGGTGTTTCTCTCACTTTTAATATGCCCACATGCCCAGTGGCTTCTGAAGACCTAGCCCCACTAATTCCTCCACTCTGCCAAGCTTCAGAGGGGCAGAACTACAAGGTCTTTCTTCCGGGAGAAGATTCATCTCGGGATTCCAAGGCCCTCAACACAGGTTTCCCAGGAGACTCAGGGGATCAAAAGATTTAGAGCTGGGAGGGAGCTTATCTTCCTAATTTTGCAGATGGCCCAGAACTGAGGCCCAGAGAGGCTTTTACCCAAGGTCGTGTAAGATCAAAGATTTAGAGCAGGAAGGGACCTTGGAGGTCATTGAGAGCAAGCCCCTTGTTGTACAGAGGCAGGAACTGAGGTCAGAGATGGTGGAAGAGCCTGTCCATGGTCACCCAGTGGAATTTGAGCCCAGGTATTCCTGACCCCAAGACCAGCACTTCTAGGCCATACAGTCTGTCGGAGAGTATGAGGGCAGACAGGGATTCAGACCTGGGCATCCGGATCCCAGCTCCATTATTCATGTCTCTTCATTTCTCCCTCCACAGACTCAGACCATCCTGCTCCCTACATCCCTGCTCCAGGCCAAGGTCACCATCACAAGGGGAGGAAAGGGACTAGGGAATTAT